TACGGGAAAATGGTCCCTTTATTCCAACAATGGGCACGCAAAGATTATTAGACCCGAATACCGATTTTTGCTTCTGTAAAAAAGTATCAGTACACCGAAACTAATAAATTACACCGTACTACAATCTTCATTCATTAGAGCAAAATTATCCCCGCTGGTGCAATCTAACTTCACCTTACGATATTGCAAGAGCGCTATTAGTAAAACGACATTACCCTCTCTTGGGACCACACAGTCATCAAAAGAAAGTAACGGACTGTGGCGACTATGGCGTAATTATATAATGTGATAAAATATTGCGTATGAGCTAGTCTACTTTGAACATGTTGGTTCTAATAGATTCGTCGAGATAAGGAAAAATTGTTTTATGGTATCAATTAAAACGAATTAGTTATTGTTTCGGAATTGGAAAGTCAGGATGAGAGAAATCGCGAGAGATATTTTGGTTAGCTGACTTTGGACACACGTTGTGTATATTATAAATTTCTGTGCGGATAAACCGCGAGTTCCGGCGCACACGCGCACCTCGGTCATTCGCGGAGAGTGCATCTGGTGGTCCACCGCCACCTTCGAATATTCGAGATGGAAAATTTACAATCGAGTTCGCGGAGAGTTGAAGATACGCAGAAGGCTGTACGGTTCAGTAAGGGCGTACGATCGATACGGAAAAGTTCCTCGAAATCCTGAGTAAAGCTTCGTTCGCCTCGTGCTATTTCGCGTAATCGCAATCGTCAGATCGGCCGGATTCATTCTGGTCCTATGCGTAATTTCCTACGATTCTATGATCGTATTAAAATGAAAATCATCTCAACTGGCTTTGTGAAAAAAAAACGGGACCGAAATTTGACTAAAAAGTAATGCAGCGGCGTACCGGTGTACGTTTTAATTTCATTAATTTCTTCTGCTTCAACCATGTCGGCGATGTTTGTCCTTCTCGGAAGCTTTAGGGTTAATTTTCTTGATAAGATGAGAAACCTTTCAACTCAGGGAGCGCTAAAGGAAACGTGGCCTCGCAGGATGTCCATCACGGTCATCTCCAACGGAGAAGATAGGGCGTGCGCCCCCTTTCAAAGAAAATGAGATTGATTGGAGGTGATATGATGATAATTTTTTTCGATTGCAATCTATTGATTTTGTTAATTATTTTTTATTTACAATATTATTTTTGTCTGCAACAAGCTCATACCAATTTCAATATATTATTGTATTATTAGTATTATGCTTGAATATGCGATAATATAAAGTTAAGACGAATCAATAAATAATTTTATTAACTGAAATAAAAAAAGCTCGAGCAATATATACGTATACATATTATATTTTTTATTTTATATTACGGTAAGATGGTTTCTTTTTAGAAAGTAAAAATAACATTACAATTTTATAAGTTCATATGTAAAGAAGATGGTATTATAGCACCTGATTTACATTTTATATAATAACTTGATTAATAATCAATATTTAAATTTGAAACTTAATAATTACATTTATTAAAATGTTGT